GTCCACTGCAATCTCATCCCCTTCCTTGTGTATAATACAATACTCTCCTTTCACACAATGACTCACTGGTATTTCAATGACCTATTAGGCCGGCCTTCATATTTGTGGGACATAGCAGGAGTCTGGCAAATCCAAGTTTCAGGGCAATATAATTAGAACTAATAAAATCATGCAAGTATAAAATGCAGCTTACTCATTTCATTTCCAGGTGTTTGTGTGTGGTTTTCCTTCTGCCTGGATTTCCCTAGACCCTAAACCCTTAAACTCTTATCCTTTTCCCACTACTTTCCTGCGTGTCTCTGTGTATGCGGCCGGACATCCTTTGACCTCAGTTTATATATTACTTCTTGCCTAGATTAGATGACCCTCAGGTGTGTTTCTTTGGACCCTGTGAAATTCTCATCTTGGCACTTGGTGTTATTTTGTTGGGCAATTGTATTTATTGGGAGCACACTCTGAGGAGGTCCTGAGTTAGTAACTTGGATAAAGTACTTTAAAAGAAAGACAGGGCACTCCTACTCCTGAAGCTTATAGTGTGGATGAAATGACAATTAATAATTATAGTAGTGGGGCGCCTGGGTGGCTCAGTCATTAAGCGTCTGCCTTCGGCTCAGGTCATGGTCCCAGGGTCCTGGGATCGAGCCCCGCATCGGGCTCCCTGCTCAGCGGGAAGCCTGCTTCTCCCTCTCCTACTCCCCCTGCTTGTGTTCCCTCTCTAGCTGTCTCGCTCTCTGTCAAATAAATAAATAAAATCTTTAAAAAAAAAATAATTATAGTAGTCACAAGTGGTAGAAAAGAAAAAACCAAGATCTTATACAAGTAAATACAAAGAAGACTTCTAGCTTAAGATAGGGCCTAAGGGAGGATTTCCTGAGAAGGAGACATTAAATCGGGAACCAGAGGATGAAAAGGGTCGACCAAGTTAAGTTTGTGAGAGTCCTTCAGCAGAAGGAAGCAGTGTATTGAAGAAACTCTGAGTAGAAAGCAAAAGGAAGACACTTCAGAGACTCGGTAGACAATGAATCCATTGCCGTGTTCACAGGTATTCTTGTGGATGCTACATGGTTCTCTCCCTCTGCCAGGAAACCAAGACAGAAAACTTCCTGAGGTCAGAAATGTCAAATTCACCACTATATGCATTTGATTAAATGACAATTGGGAGTTATTTTTGTGGAAGATGAAATGAGATGCTATTTTTTTTTTTTTTAAGATTTTATTTATTTGCGAGAGAGACAATGAGAGACAGAGAGCATGAGAGGGAGGAGGGTCAGAGGGAGAAGCAGACTCCCTGCTGAGCAGGGAGCCTGATGTGGGACTCGATCCCGGGACTCCAGGATCATGACCTGAGCCGAAGGCAGTCGCTTAACCAACTGAGCCACCCAGGCACCCGAGATGCTATTTTAAGGCTCAAACACAATAATATGTGTTAACGAAAATGGAGCAAAGGAGGGATGAGAAGAAAATATTTAAGAGAAAATGCCCTTGTGAACATGTGATCACTAACCCAGATCTTTCTCTACAAAATCCCGAAAGGTCTTACCCCACCGAACTTCTCTATAGTAGTCTAGACCTTGAGATATTCTTTAGAAATGGCAGAAAGCGCTGTTTATTTTTAAGAGTAGAAAGATAAATTAGTGAAAATCTCTGGAAACTGAGGTGCAGAGTGTTAAAACCTTGTGAAAGCCTAAGTAAATGAAGTATTGTGAAATATTACAATGGAAAACCATGCTAGTTGGGATGATTTAAACAGTTGGTTAGTGCTGACTGTGGGATGCTGGGCCATGAGCTGGTTTTCTCCCCTCTTTGTTTTTCTCCCAGGAAAAGAGTTTTGAAGGTATGAGGTGATTTGGAGACTCCACCCATCAATGTTCGAAGCTTTAGATATTATTAGGAAAACCGCAGTTTCCTTCCTGCAAATACCTTTTTTCTTTTTTTTTTTAAGATTTTGTTTATTTGACAGAGAGAGACACAGCGAGAGAGGGAACACAAGCAGGGGGAGTGGGAGAGGGAGAAGCAGGCTCCCCGCCGAGCAGGGAGCCCGATGCGGGGCTCGATCCCAGGACCCCGGGATCATGACCTGAGCCGAAGGCAGATGCCCAACCATCTGAGCCACCCAGGCGCCCCTTCCTGCAAATATCTTAATCAAAATGAGTAAGATGATAGCAGAAATACCTTCTTTTGGTCCTGATACACATTCGTAGCTGAAAAGAGTTACATTAGACCTTTCTCATCCACTAAACTTAAAGGTGAGCCAGTAGAAACCAAAGTCCTTATTTTAGACCTAAATGGGAAGGTGAGTCACCCAACTGCTTGTCTCTCCTTCCTTGTTCTCAGAGTGGCTGTGGCAGGCAGCGACCTTGGGAGAAGCAAGGAATCTGGTGCTCTCAAAACCTAAACAAAGTTATTTGCTTCTATTGGCAAACTAACGTTCCTCTATCCAGTTCCAAGGCATGGCTGTGTTCTCCTCCCACCCGCTGGACTCTTATGTGTCCAAAAACAGGAATCTGGTGCTCTCAAAACCTAAACAAAGTTATTTGTCATTACCCCCACTTGACTGCACCTCCTGGGTGCAGGAAGTCTGAGCTTGAGGTTTCAGTAACATGTGACACATTCTCCTAATTATTAACACCTGGCATTCCTGGAAACTAACAGAAGCACAACATCATCATAAATATGTGAACCTTCCTGGCATATTTATAAATGAATTTTTCACTGGTTACTTTCTTGACTATGCCTAGGATCCATTATTTCAGTGATTGAATTTCATTATTAGCCTTGCTTTTCTCGATTACACACAGGAAACACAAGCGAGTAATGAGCTCATATGACCACAACAATAAAACTTTCATATTCCCAAAGAGCACTGAGGTTGTGAAAGGGCTGAGGATCTGATAAACACTTCTCTCTTCTGTTAGGGATAGGGAATGCACTCTGGTGAACTGTAATGTCAAGAAGTCAAGTGAATGGAACCCATCAGGAGTAGGTATTGTGATAAGCTATTATCTGACTGGACACAGGGTCCCCAAGTAACAGCTAAACATGGAGATCGTCCACCGTCATCTGAAGGAAGAAACTGATAAGGGTTAATTCAGGCTAGTGACATGGAAGAGAAGATGAAGTCTGAATTTAAACTGTTTTACTTCACTGAAGCATGAATAAGTCAGGGAGAAGCAAGGACGATCTGGCACGAGTCCTACAAAAACCTGTGGGTTTTCATGACTCTTTATCACAGACTCTAGTGCTGCTTATGAGGATGCAAAGGGCTGGTCCTAAGAGTAGAGAAGAATAGGGGTGCCCAGTGACTCAGTCTGTTAAGTGTCTGGCTCTTGATTTTGGCTCAGGTCATGATATCAGCGTCATGGGATTGAGCCCTGAATTGGGCTCTGAGCTCAGTAAGGAGTCGGCTTGAGATGCTCTCTCTCCATCTCCCTCTGCCCCTCCGCACACCCTCCCCCCAACCCCGCGCGCACGCTCTCTGTCTAAAATAAATAAATCTTAAAAAAAAAAAAGAATAGAGAGGAACGTTAGGGACCTCAGAGAGGGTCCAGTAAAAAACCCTGCTGAGGGGCGCCCGGGGTTAAGCGTCTGCCTTCTGCTCAGGTCATGATCCCAGGGTCCTGGGATCGAGCCCCGCATCAGGCTCCCTGCTCCGCGGGAAGCCTGCTTCTCTTCCCTCTCTTGTCATGTCTCTGTCAAATAAATAAAATCTTAAAAAAAAACAACAACAACCCTGATAAATCAGGTTGAGGCTTGGTTTTGGTCTGGGTAGGATGGGTCTAGAGTTGTCCATTGTGTGATGTTTACCCCTCACGTGCAGCCTCCCTGCTTGGTTAGGTGGTTGCCCAGGTTGGAAAGATGTGTCTCATTGTAGTGACATTCACTAGCCAGCACTGTGCGCTCTCTCATCCTTCCGCTCTGTGCTCAACCCCATAGCAGCTGCTGGGCCTCGCTTGATCTCAGCCCCAATGTGTGCAGATCCCAGGACTCAGCCGGTGAACGAGGCCCCCTCTGCAGAGCTCTCTTCTCTCCAGATGCCAGCTATCTGGGTGCCACGCAAACTGATGTTTACCGCCGTGGCCGGTGTGGCTGCCAGGCTCTGCTTTGACACCTGTTCCCCAGCTGCAGCCCTGAAACCCACCCCGGGCCCCTGCGGTGCTTACTGCTGAGTCGGCTTCCCCTCAGGGGTCTTATCCTTGTGCAGCCTGAAGCCTGAAGCTGTCACCTCCCGTCCTAGGACGGAGTCATGGTGTTGCTTCTGGGGGGAGGCTACTCCGTAATCCCCAGAAACCGAGTCAGCTGCCCTATTGTAAATATTGACTTTAGGAATTTAATTTCTTTAGGTGATATTTGCTGTCACGTAGGGTAGATGTCACTCACTATTTTCTAACTTTTTGCTCTTTGCATGTCCCTCTTTGGGTCACGTGGGTCTGGAATCCACACACGTAAGAGGATAGGAAAATACTGTTGAAAAATTAATAATGTGGTGTACCTACGGATCAGGGGGATGGGACTAGATGTGTCACTGTAGCTAGAGATAGGGAAGCTTCTTGAAAATATTGGCCCCTCTGTAGAAATCACCAATGGTGCTTCCTCCAGAGAAACCAATGCCATGAATGCTCCCCTTCGGAGGGACAGAATTGCAGAAAGGAGTTATTTTCGGGGAGCCGAATAAACGTTTCTCCAGGGCATAGGATTCACTGATTTTCAGATAGGCTGTGGGACCAATCTGCATCACCTGAGGCTGGCCCCAGTGAGGGCCCTCTGGAAGTCGCAGTCAGCATGCAGACCCCCATGTCAGTGAGGTCCAGAGCACCCCACCCCCACCGCCCCATGTGGCTCACAGCACACAAATCAACCACCCTCACACAGCTCACTCCTGGGTTAAAGAGACCACATCTGGCACTTTGGCAGATGATGCCCTTTGAGAAAAAGGACGTTTTATTTTTTTTTTTTTTTGCATTATAAATGTGTTAGTTGTAAAATGTAATATTCTTAGAAAATACAGAAAAATACAAGTATATTTTATAAAATAAAGAAATATAATCTACAATGCAGCCCTTAATATGCTGGGCTATTTCTACTGCATCTATTTTTAATAGAAATCCTCAGTTTTAACAATTCCACTATGAAAGCCCATGAATTGATCTGGAGGGGAGTGCATCATATCAAATTCCACCTTTAAGTCAAAACCGACTGGCTCCTTCTTGCTTTTCCTAGCCTTGATGACCTTAAAGGAGAGATAAGAAAGACACAATGAGATCCTAGGCGTTGCACTGAAGGTCTGCTGCTCTTCTTCCTTCCACCTGCACTGTGTCTCCAGCTCCGTCAACACCCCGTGTCCTCTCTCGGAGGCTGCTCATTCTCTCTCTCCTATCTCCTACACTGCACCACCCTCTTGTGAGCCCTCCTCATCTGGAGCCTAAAGGAGAGATTTCCTGGTGCCCCCACGGGTCCACTTGAACAGCTCCACAAGGATGGTGAGGAGGAACTGGGAAAGAAGGGGAGTCCTCACTGGAGCAGAAAAGTGACAGGAAGCAACAAAAGGTAAATATTTTTCCCAGTGCAACTGCTCTGGACTAAAGGTAGAAGTCGGGGATTCTTGCGTTAGGGGACCTGAAGAGTGGCACTGAGGTGCTTGTACACGTCTGTACGCATGAATAGATCAGAATTTCTAGATTAATTATTTGCACTCAGTTTAATGTTGATTAGTGCATCAAGAATTCCATGGTGGACCTCTGTGAGTATGTGTGTGTATGTTCCTACGCGCCCGAGAAAGAGAGTGTGGTGTCACGTGGGCCAAGATGTGCACTGCACGACAGGGTGGTGCCTTTGGCTCTAAGATACAGTTACTCAGGGTCCTGGGACCCCCTCGGTCGTCTGTGTCTGGTATGTGCTCTGTTGACCCTCTTCTTCGTTAAACTTGTTTTGAGGCTTATTATACACACTTTCCGTTTTACTGCTGACCTCTGTGCTCACTTCTTTTTGTTCCTGAGTGGTATACTTCCCCTCAGGCCACTCTCAAAGACCAGTTTTTCCCAAAGCTGCACCCTTATGTGTCTGTTCTGCCCACTGAGCCCAAGAGTCTGAGTCTGGAGCCCAAGCACCTGGGCCAGCACAGCGATCTCGGTTGCAGCAGGTATACGCAGTGCCAAGCAGGGCTCCCGCCCACCTTTCAATGATAGTGATAATCAGTATCTCCATCAATGAAATGGGAATAATGACTTCAGTATCTTCGTCACTGTCTCAGTTCCCAGCACACAGTAAGCGCTCAGCTAAGTGTTCTCTTATTCATTTAGATACACATGTTGTTATGTTATTATTTCTCTTGGGCAGTATCATTCACACCCATGACTTTAAGAATTATCCTTAAACTGCCAAGTACTGCTGTTGCTTGCTGTCCCTGTCTCCAAACCTGGCCTCTCCCTAATGCATCCCTCCAGAGAGTTACTAGCATACTTTTTGCCAAGATGTCAAAGTCATCAGGCATTCTTCCGCATAAAATTTTTCAAGTGGTTACTTGTTTTCACAATGAATTTTCCATTTCTGTTTATTTCTGACAAAAGAAATACACCAAATACATCCCCTGACTCCTGTTTTTACTCCCTGGCCTCACCTTCCCTCCATCTCTACATCTATGGCATTTCAGTTATACAGAAATCATGTTGTCTCACACTTTTGGGGACACACATGCATCATTTCTTTTGCCTAGAACTCTTTCCAATGTCTACTTTGCTAAGAAAAATAGTACCTACTGCAGACTGATTTCCGTTTTCGTGTTCAGCAGTTAGAGAATGTGTATGGTCTCACTTAACCACACACGGTCTTACCTCAACCCAATGATGTAGAGACTGTGACCCTTTCAGAGGACCAGTCAACTACATCCCCAACGTCAGGCAAGTGGTGACTGCTGAAGGCCAGGATTCTAATCAGGTCTGTCCTATTCAAAGCCCTGCTCTCAACCATTATGAGAAGTAGCCTCCCTGCCTTCCTAATGTCTTCAAATATTTCCTTACTTAGCGTAAGTATCTTATGCTTTTGAAATCTCTGTGAATGTCATTTCCTCATAGCCTTTTAAAAATCCTCCACTTAAAAATGAATGCAAGGCATGGCTGTGTTCTCCTCCCACCCGCTGGACTCTTATGTGTCCAAAAACAGGAATCTGGTGCTCTCAAAACCTAAACAAAGTTATTTGCCTCTATTGGCAAACTAACGCTCCTCTATCCAGTTCCCACCTGGATGAAGCTGTGAGTTCCACATGTCAGTTTCAGCTTCTGGTCAATTGTTTTCAGTTGAAAGCAGAAGAGTCGAAGTTTATCTCCTTTCTCACACGTGATGTTATGCCATCTCTCGGTCCCCACGACCTCCATCGTTCCTGTGTTATCCTGTATTTCATACACTGTCGTCTTCCTATTCACTTTTTTCTGCAACAGAAATGCAACGTTCAGTTTCTGAAGTCATAGCAGTGACTTTCATGTCTGAGGAAGCACCTGGTGGCACAGGAAATCCAAGACATAAAAAAGCAATTATAGGCACAAATAAACACACAGCTTTGGCAAGGTCTTGTCAGAGAACTTTCCTTTTATTATCCTGCTTTTGTATTTTCTTCCCCTTTCTTGTTCTAGATATTTTCTATCTGGCAATTCTAGCACAATGAGTTTTCTTCCTATTTTCTACTGCTTCACCACAAGGGAAGCGTTGATTCCTTAAACAACTGGAATCAGAGGAAGGAGTCGGAGCTCTGGTGGACTCCTTTAGCTCCTGTCCTTATGCAGAAAGGAATGGACATGACCATGACTATTCATCAGCCGATTATAAAGAACCTATATAACAAGTAAGGTTCCAGTAACTAATTCCTTTTTCAACCTTCTCCATTTACCCATCCTTCTCCAAATCTTATCTCCACTGACCAGGATCCTGCAGTTCACTTTCTTAAGTTATAACTCATCAATTCTATAAGTGCATTTTTTAACCATGGTCTCTGAAAGACAGTGTAAGAAAGGAATGGAAGTAAATTAAGGGCTATCCCGGAAGACAGGCATATGGGGCTATGAAGCATATAAGATCATATGAGATCATATGAGATCCTATGAGATACCAGGGGAGTTCATGACAGTTTGTAAATTCTGGGGAGAACTGAATGCATCATACTAACCAGTACCCTGAATTTGGACATGACATATCAGTAAAACTGTCCATGCCATCCCTCCCCGCCTTTTGGGGATATAATGGAATTAGATTGCCATGTCTTCCAATTATCATACAATATGAAACCTTAGTCTTCAATAAACTGTTCATAAATAATGTGTTAAATAAATAGGTTAGAGGAGACAGCCTTGAATGATTATATTATTTGCCTACATGTTGAAGGTATTCACATTCAGGAGAATACAAGCCAATATATTTATTACTCTGAATATGTGTCACAGCCAGAATTAATCTTTGTTAGGGCAATCTATTATTCAAAGTAAAAAAAAAAAAAAAAGATTTATACAGTCGTGGAGGAGCTCAGAGATACAATTATGAGCATGTGCATACTCATTTATACCCTGTGCTGTCCTTGCTCACGGAGGTTAAAAATAATCATTACTGGTGAAATAACAAGGTTTCTAGGGACTCTTTTTCAAAGAACTTGCATGAAGCTATCTCGGGTAGAAGACTATCAGGTCACCAGTCCCGTTTCCTGCTGTGTGGCGCACTTGACCTTCACTCTGTAGTCAAGACAGTGGGCTGGGAGCCGGGCTCCACCCCAGAGTCAGTACACAGAGCTTGGCAAGTGAAAACACTCAATTTCAGGTGTGGACAGAGAAAATAAAAACAATTTTAAGGGATTACCTCATGTAACAGAAATAATCCATACACAAATGTTCCTGATGCTTGCTTGTAAAGATTATCAATCTTGGGAGTTTCATTTGCTCTTTTGATGATGCTGTTTGGGACCACAATCAATTGGAAAGGATCGGCTTCGAACACAGATGAGGCTTTGTTTATCTCGAGGATTCCTTTGCATTCATAGTAATCTAATATGGTAATGATATTCTCTTTTGTGAATTTCTCTTTCAGGTTGCTGTTTAAAACCTTCACGTGGAAAAACTGACTGGGAGTGGCCACTGTAGCATGAAACATTCTGCTTCTCCCCTCTTCTGGGGACTCGTATTCAAATGGCTCCGTTGCTTTCAGTACCAGGACAGTCAGGGGGCCCTGCTGAAGCACACGTCCTCTAGGAGCAGCTTGATGTTGGCCCTTCATCATCTGGTTGTGTGTTGGACAGAAACAGGGAAACAAACTTACAAGTCTGGGCAGGGAATACCAGCCAGGTCATTTTATCATGCGTGAAACCTCAATTATAACACTGGGACCACAACGACCCTCACAGATATTTGGAGCTGGAGCCAGGCTAGAAATGAATCGCCTAACAGAAAGGAAAAGCTAACGAACCAGTAGCTTATCTAGCCAAAGTATAAGGTAGCAGACAGCGGCCTAGGAGTCCAAACACCCTCACTTCAACAGAAGCGTCTTTCTGAATTAGAGCCGGATCCTCCGCAAGAGCGGCACAGAACTGCGCTGCCCTCAAGTACCAAAGGAACAGATTCAAATATTTCATTCAAATATATCCTCCACCCATTCAGTCTTTTTTTTTTTTCTTAAAGATTTTATTTATTTATGTGAGAGAGAGAGAATGAGAGAGAGAGCATGAGAGCGGGGAGGCTCAGAGGGAGAAGCAGACTCTGCTGAGCAGAGAGCCCGATGCGGGACTGGATCCCGGGACTCCAGGATCATGACCTGAGCCGAAGGCAGTCGCTTAACCAACCGAGCCACCCAGGCGCCCTCCACCCATTCCGTCTTCAACGACTAAAGAAAATAGGAAGTGTGAGCAAACCACGCCGAGGGCACTGGAGGTGGGGACCAGCGCCCACACAAGCCACAAAGGGTTCTCAGTGTATCTGGGGCCCCGGTGAGGGTCCAGCTCATGTCACGTCTGCGCAAGACACAGCGCTGTTAGTGGCTCCAAAGTCCCTATCCTCCTTGGCTCCGCAGAGGATACGTGCCTGGAACCATTAGCCACAGCATTTCTCTAACGGAAGAAAGGAGGACAGGTGTGTTCACCTCTAATCCCCTCTCTCACCGCGGCCTGGTCTGTATGAGCAGCGGCCGAATCCCGTCAGGAAGGGGAAACCACCCCGCGTGGCGGGCAGGGATGGGTGTTGGGGTCCTAGACGTGGAGGGGCATGGAGCCAAGCCATTCACCCCCACAGGCCAGAGGTCCCTGAGACGCGTCTGGCCTGGGGTAGTCCACACGGCGACCACCAGCGTACTTTATGTGGCTGTGGCTTCTCCTCGTGGGACCACCTTACCCCCAGCAAGGGAAGCCCCTTTGCCCAAGCGCGCTGGGACGCCTGCCACCGACGGCAGGTGCGGTCCCCGGGCGCGAGGAAACCCCGCAAGGATGACGGGGCAGCGGTACCTCGGGGAAGGCGGAGAAGAGCGGAGCCAACGACGCGGTCTGGGGCCGCGGAAGGAAGCCGACAGCTGCGGACGTGCTGGGCCCGGGACGGCAGACCGCCTGGGTCTGCGGCTGGATCCCCTTGTTCTTTTTTGGCGCAGCCGTTCCTTTGGCGGCGGTTTTTCTTTTCTGAAAGCAGTGGAACGTTCCTGTTAGCGGTTTTCAGCACGAAGAGAAGCACCACAGTCTCACTGCTTGGCCGCAGGTTCCTCCCACCGGGAACGTGGCGGCCCGGGAAACTCCCGGGTGTCCCCGGCTGTCACCTGGAGACAGGCAGCGGGTGAGAGCGGGCAGGGCTGACAGCGCACAGGGGGAGACGCTCACGGACGCAGACGCCCCACTGCTGGAGCCGCCCCTGCGTTGGGACGGCAAGAGCTCCAGCCTCCTGAAAATCGGGGTGCGCGGGCGTGCGCGAGCCGCGTTGCCAGCCTGGCTGCGAGCTCGTCTGTAGGAAGGAGGTGATGTCATCACGTTTATGTCACCGAAACGTTTTCCACGTTTTTGCCTGGCACGAAGCAGATGACCCGAATGCCTCCATTTGGCAAATCTGCACGGACAGAATACTGACCAAGAAGCAAGTGCCTGGCGAGCTCCTTCCTGGGGCCCGAAGCCTCCTGTCCCTCCCCAGGCTTACCTGAGACGCAGTGGTCCCCTCCGCTCTCTCGCACAGCAGAGCGCTGCTTGTCGTGGGGGCACATGCCGAGGGGCCCACCCTTGCCTGCTGCGGCTTTTTCTTTGGCGTTTCTTCTGTTGTCTTCATTTTCTTTGCAACTGATACAAAAACAAGGAGGACACAATGAGCCCAGAGCTGAAGCCTTGTCAAGGCTAAGTCCTCTCAGCTCCCGCCGCCGATGCACGTACACTCGAGTCTGCCTGTCCTGCCTGAGCCAGCCTGGCCCCGAGGGGACCGACGGCCCCACCACAGGCCGGGACACTGCGTCCTGCTCCTCAGTGGTTTCCCAACTCGCTCTCCGGGCAGTGAGCACATCCTCCCCATCCTCTGGATTCCTATGTGCTGCCGTCCCACCCTTTCCCGGCCCTGTTCTCCCATCATCTCCTTAAAAAAAATCCAACGTTTTCATGATACTGACTGCTTGGTCATGTTCTTCAAAAGATCTATTAAAATAACAGAAACCAATGAAAGGAAATAGGATACAGATCGGTGAGGTGACAAAATGGCGACACTGGCCTTTGGGTTTTTTAAGATTTTGTTTCAACACGGTGATTTTACCCGGGGCAAGTTGTCCACCTCTCTGAGAGGTAGGTTTTACGTTAAGCACGCTGTACCTTTGTTACCAGAAGGCAGATGATCATGTGGCAAATAGTGTTAGAATAGGCACATTCATTGGTTAAACGTAATTATTTTAAAATAAGTGATTATTTTGTGATTTTCTAACATTTCCAAAGCACTGCAAGCCTCAGGCTCTCATGGGCTCCTTCTATCTTTCATTCTTTGTCCTCGCGCCTAATACAGCCTTCTGCATAGATCAATCAATCAGTCCCCTTCCCAGGAAAGGGGATGCCCAGGGCTGTCAGCTTGTTGGTCCCTGCATCCTGCGTGGTCACCGCTGCGGAGTCACGCACTGGCAAAGGGGTATGCCACCCCACCAAGTGCTCTTCTACTCAATTGGGGGGAGCTCAGGGTGGAGCAGTCAGGTGTGGGATCTTCCTTATTACCTTTCATCTTCTCATTTCTAAGTTGCTTAACAATGTCCTTAAGTGGTGGCATGTCCTTGAATAGGTCTATTAGCTTGTCCACACAGGCAGCCCCTGGGAACTTCTTTTCCATCAGGTCAGCAATCTTGACCTTGTTATATTCTTCTTGCATGTTGGTAGTCAGTCCCAAATCATGGGCCAGTAGGGACTTAACTATGCTAAACTGGTAGTCGTTGATGAGCTCCAGTCCTTTCAGCAGAATAATTCTCTTGTACTCACTCCCCATCTCTCCAGGTATGGCTGAGCCTGCAAGAGAAAAATACCATAGTGTTATACCTTTCTCCAGAAGATTTAAAAGTCCGGCTGTGTCTATGTGAGTGAGTGGCCCATGTCACGGTGTTGTCCTTGAGTGTGTGTGACAAAGAGGAACTTAATTTCCAGGTGTGTCACTGTGGGTTGAGAACTGCTGTATTCGGGACTTCTAAGAAATTCTTTCCTTTTAATAATGATAGTTGAGTTGGGTTGGGGTGGGGGTGGTGGCAGGAGGTCTGGAAAGAGGTCTTGCTGTTGCCCTGTGTGGAGTGTGGGCTGCAGGGGGTCAGAGTCCCCACTCGCTCGCTACCTCCTCCCATCCTGTGTTGGGGCTGAGGTCTCTCCCTGGATGTCCACCTGCTGGCTCTGGACTCTGTCACCTCTCACTCCCTGTGACTGTCCTCCCACCGTCGCCCTCCCTGCTGGGCACGTGCCCAGCACGCCTGATTCTTCCCTAGTCAGCCCTTCCCATGTCCTCTCTCCCTGGGGCTCGGGCCATGTTCTCCGTGTCCTCTGTGCCCTGGTCTACCTGCTCTCTCGTGCAGAACCATAGTGGCCCTGATTGGCCACAAGTAAGAGTTGCTTGAATTTCCTCCTCCCGGCTAATTTCTCGACTCAGTTCTCTCTCCATAAGCTGTACTTCTAGCTGTCTCAAAATCCTTCGGTAGTTCCCTGTTTTCCTTAGGAAGTACTCCTGGATATGTAGCCCGGCTTTTAGGCCTTGAATAATGTCTCTTCCTGACTTCTCCCCTTTTCCATTTTTCATATTTAGGTTCCAGAAATATGCATTGCATTGTGCTATGTCAGGCTCTCTGCATGGAATGTACTTCCTCCCCCCCCTTTTTTTTGAAAGGTAAATCTAGAGAATACATGGTCTTCATGAAACTAGTATAATGTAATTCTGCCAAATTATGTACATGTGCAGACGTGTTCAGCCCGAATCCAATCATATTCTTATGTTGGATATTTTTACATAGTATCCTAAACTCTGAATCTAATTCAGCTTATGAAAATCAGTATTTGTGAAAAATGTCACTTTTGTCATTTTTTTTCCCTCCCATATCTTCCCCCAGCACATGACTCAGTAAGCAGAAGACGATTGTTAATAGCTTAGACTATGGAATTCAGAAGACTTAGCTCCTAGAATATAATCATGTGACCACATACTTCAACGGGTACAACTCGAATGTAAGTGAGTGATTTGTAAGATGAGACTGAAAGCTGTCCCACAAGAAGACAGAATGGATTCAGAAATAGAAGACAGAAAATGCATGTGAGACCTCTCAGGCCACAGGTCAAAGTGTCCACACCCACATGCTGTTTGTTGTTAAAAGAACAAAATATAAAATGAAAAGGAGAAAATATTGAAAGAAATAATGAGATACACTTCCTGGAATTCAAATAACATGGATATCCTCAGAGGGATTGACCAAGAGTGTGCCAAATAGGAGAGCAAAGGAAAAACCCACATCAGGACATAATGTAGAGGAACTGAAAAATATCCAAAACAGCAAGAAAAATTTGACTTCCAGAGAAAAAGAGTAGATCACTTACAAAGTTTCAAAATCAGATTTTCAACAGCAAAACTGGCATGGAGTACCTTCGTATAGTATTTCACCCAAATTCCATATCTGCACTACTGAAATCTCCCCAAATTGTGAAAACAAAAGTTATGTGGGTGTGTGTGATTGCGCATGTACGTGTGTGTATCAATTTGATGACAAATTTTGCTAGAAAAATATCTGATGTGAGACCTCAGGAGCCTGTGTAGAATTTTTTTTTTTTTTTTTAAATTCCACCTTAATGCAAGTTCTCACATGTCTTGCTGATAGGGTTTTGAGCAGCATTGTTGGGGCCTGGAGCTAAGGGCCAAGAAAGAATTCTTGAGACATCTTTGGTGCAAAAAGGTGGTTTTATTAAAGCACAGGGACAGGACCCTGGGCAGAAAGAGCTGCTGCCCTGGGGTTGTGAGGGGTGACCCATTATATACTTTGGGGCTGTGGGAAGTAAAGATAAGGGAAGTTCGAAAAGGACTTTCATATGCTAAAGAAGATGCACAGGATACTGGAGGCCTAGCTATTGTCAAACTAAGGTTGTTTTTCCCTCTAGCAAAGCAATACCTATACTCTGCCTGCCTCAAGTATCTGTCCATGGGCAGCAAGTTATAAGCACATTTAATTGTATCTCATTGCCTTTTGCCTTTGTTTCCCACAACATTGCTACACGACCGTGAGTGCCTGTGAGCTGAGTCAGGACTCAGATCTTATTCAGTCATCTATATGATACACAAGATGTGGTGTGTGCATTAGACAGCCTTTCCTAAGTCACTCAAATTCTGAATTTCAAAACTTATGTGAACCCAAATGTTTCAGAGAGGCGCTGGCCAATATAAATTGAAGAAAAAATAATTTTGAAACCAGAATTTTGTATCTAGCTCAAATGGCATTGAAATGCAATGTACTACAGATGAATCTCTTGATATTGACCAACACAGTAAACAGATTTGCAACACAAAGACACCAACGGAGCAGTGTTTTGGAAACAGTATTCCCCTGGAAAATAAAAGAGGTCAGGAAAAAAAAGAAAAAAAGAAAAAAACACAACTGCTGACAAAAACGAAAGAGAGAACAAGACCTTGATTGACTCTTTCAATATTTTAAAAATAAATAAAGCCCCAACTGAAGAGAAACAAAACGGGAAGTAGATCAACATGGTGGGGTGGACAGGGAAGAAAGAGGATTTGTGCTTAATGAGCTACTTGCCTTTTAGGAGGGGTTGGAGATATAAATTTAAATTTATTGGCGAAGAAGAAGAAAGCACAGAATAAACACTATAGGTAATTGTTTTAAGTTAGTCAAAATACAGCACTTCACCTAATGTACATAAAGGGATAAACCCACTAAAAGGCAACATTTCTAAAATGGATTTAAAAAAAATCTACGTATGTATCATTGACAAAAAGTAACTCAAAGTTTTAAAAAAGATTGTTGCCGAAGTTGTACATGGAAACATTAAAGAGAGCAGACTATCTGTGTCATGTAGCGTTAAAAAGACTTTAAGACAAAGACTTTAATCAGAACTAGAGTTTCACTGCACAATGATTAAAGGTTTACCTTCCAGAAAGTTGCCAACAGTTTTAATTATGTATTTGCTTAATAGTAATAAATATATATTATTTATTATGAGCTTTTGTTATTCATACTATTATGAATAGTGTTATGTAGCATATTTCTCACTATATATTCATACATATATGTTAACAGTTGAGAGAACTACAAGGAAAAGTGGACAAAATCACGATTATAGTTTGATTCTAGCATATGTTAGTTACTGAACAAAGCAAGAAAAGAAGCAGAAAATACTTAGAAAAGCTGACCAACACTGCTCAGCTTAAATAAAAAGCTTGATCTAACACTTAGGAAATTCTGAAACTAATATTTAAAATGCTACGTTTCTCTCCAATGGGCATGAAATGTTTGTGTACCAAGCTCTACAGAAAGACTAAAGCATTTTCCAAACTGTGGCTACAGATTTGTCTCCAACCACCTCTTTTCTACAAACGCCACCACCGTTTGCCTCAGCCTTTGAGGAGCCCGGGGAGTGTGTCTGCCACGACCTGAAATGCCGGCCCGCCATTCGAGGCAGAGCGGACCCACAGCCCTTAGGGAAACGCTAGGGCGCCATGTGTTTGAGTGAGTGTGCCCATGAACCTGAGAAACGCTCTACTGTGTGTGGGTGTTCTCATGTTTTGTGAAATCGGGATAATACCATAGAATATAGTTTTATGTCCAGATGTATTTTCTTACTTAGTATCATTGCATAATACTTTTTTCATCCCAACATCCTGTCCCCTATCCCAGCTCCCACCACAGCCGGCAAGTTCCCTGGGCCCCCTCCAGGCTAGAAAGCCAAGGCCTGCCTCTGAATATCAACCATGCTGTAAACACCCACAGAACGAATTTTAAAGCTGCAATCGTCAAAGATACCTATCATCGTCCCATGTAGTGGAAGGATTAGGATGAAGGCACTGAGATTTTCACTTTTCAGAATACAGTTGATACCGGCCCGACCCCCCATCAAGGAAGTACCCGCATCTCCTCTACAAAAATCCTGACCAGACTCACCTCACTGAAGATTCTCCCCAGTAGTCCAGATCTCGAGATCTTCTTCAGAAATGTAGCAATCAGTGTTTGCTTGGCTTGAGTAGGAAGACAAATCAGTAAAGCTCTCAGAAACTGAACTGCAGGAATACTGCAATCTCCTGAAATGCTAAGAAAATAATTTCTGAGGTTAGAAAATGGCTGTGGTGAGCATCACAGAGTAGCCACCCCGGCTGCCTGCCTTGACCTCAGCCCCCAGAGGCGGAGATTACGAAACTTGTTCTGAGACTCCTCCCATCCAGGGCTTTAGCTCTGTGTTTCCCTAGTCAGAGGAGCTGAACAGCTTTCTCATACGCATCTTAGACACAATGAAAAATCAGAGCTAAATTATCACTTATTTTATTTTATTTTTACAAATATTTGAAAGGAGTTACAACGTTAGAACTTTCTAAACAGCAGACTTCAGTGTGGGTTGGTAGATGCCAGAGCCCCTTAAGTGAGGCTCCGAGACCGTGAAGGAAGAGTGAGTCACCAACCCCAACTTCCTCCCTTTCTGTTCACATAGCAACCAAGGCAGGAGGAGATCTTGGGGGATTGTTCGTGGGTAAACACAAGTGACTAATAGGCTCATATCATTACAGCAATAACTCCTTCAAATTCTGGCAGAGCAGGAAGCTTCTAGAAGAGTTAAGGGCCCAATGAATACTTTGTCTACAGTGTTTTCTCTGTATCTTACAACGGACACCATTTGGAGAATTGTAACCCTGAGACATCAAATAAATGGAGTCAATCAGCATCTAGTATGGTGGTAACCCACTGTCTGACTTGCAAGAAGGAAGGGGCCATGAAATGAAAAGGAGTCCCAAAGACCAGGGCATGTGAAGGGTGAAGAAAACTGAGTTAATTGGAACCGGGTTTGTGGAGGAGAGAGCTGCAGTCTGGGTTTGAAAACCTTTGAATATGCAGGAGTGAGTCAGGCAAAATCAAGGAGGGTCTGGCAGATGCCAAAAATACCAGCAGGTTGTCATGACTCTTCATTACAGACTTTCGTGCTGCTTATGTGGATGCCTTGAGCTCTCTTAACATAAAGAGTTGAGGGACGTTAGGGAGGTCAGAGGGCCCCAAACTAGAGACCAGGAGGCAGAGGACAGAAATATCCATGATTCAGGATGTTTTCTTTTCCCTGTACTAGAAACTAACTTATGTGGGGTGATGCCCTCCGTTGTTTCTCCAGCAGAAAACACACAGGCTACTGGCCCAAACAAAGGGAAGTCGGAGCAATGCTCCTACATCTTTATGATGTAGTTTTAGAATGTTGGTGAGGTCCGGAGCCGAGGGCCAAGAAAGAATTCTTGGACGTCTTTGGTGTAAAAAGTTGATTTTATTAAATCACGAAGACAGGACCCATGGGCAAAAAGCGAGCGGCTGCAGTGGGGTTATGAGGAGTGGCTGATTATATACTCAGGAGTTGGGGGAGGTAAGGAAAAAGGGAGGTGTCCAAAAGGACTTTGATATGCTAAAGACCCTTAGGTTACTGGAGGCCTGGCTATTGTCAAGCTAAGGTAGTTTTTCTGTCTAGCAAAGCATTAACATTAAGACAGTTGGGAGTTTCCTAGAGGAATGTTATCCTCTTCCTACCTCAAGTCCTTGTCTATAGGCTGCAGGTCAGAAAGAAATTTAACTTTGTTTACATTCCCTTCTGCCTGGGTTTCCCACATCACTCCTGGAAGGGGTGGTGATGTTAGGGCTGTAGGAAATTGAGTTATGGGTCTCTGAAACTTAGCCTATTGATAAGAAAGCTTTTTCCTTTTAAATCACTAAGACATTGGTAAACCCAGGGAGATTCCTGTCTTGCTAGACTGTGATTTCTGTTAGTTAACCATTTGGTTTTTTTTCCGTCCCCTAGCTTTAGGTCAGCTGGGAGTGTCTGAGGAACGTCACACAGATCCAAGGCGGGGGGGGGGAGCGCAGAGTGTCAGCTTGTGCTTCATCCTCAGCTTGCCTTCTGCTCCCTCATCACATCTGTGCACTTAGAATTTTAAAAGCTGCACCAAAGAAATGAAAAACAAATATGCCTTTTCCTTGACTCTTAGTGGTCCAACAATCAGTGACTTGGGCCATTCTAGAGATACACAGTGATTTATCAGGCTCTCAACCCACTAAAAGATCAGTGTTCCAGAATTTGCAAGGCTTCATTGTTGTAATGATATCAGCCAACTGGGAAATGAAAGAACTCTTAATATTGGGAGGGTAGGGAGGGAAATGTCTGGAAAATGTGTGTGACCTCCTGACATCTCAAGTCCTATTCCCAAGTACTATTTGAAACGATCACTTAAAATCCTCAGTCAAGAGTCGCCACCAGGTTGATGCCTTTTGTATGTCTTGCAGGTATGAGAGGTCTCCTAAGGGGAGGATCTAGGGCAGGTAGAAGGGCATCTACACTAAGAAATACCAGGTAGGTCCTTAACTTCCATATTAGACCTTCAGATCCAGATCAAGGTATAGAGCGTTTTGTAGTCTCTGAGAAGAAAATGGGAGGGACGGCAGGCTGGGTATCATCCAATCAAAACTCCCCACCTCTGGCACTTCAGGGCTGAACAAAACCTATTACTGAGTGAGCCTGAGCCAGCCAAATTGATTTACACATTTACCAAGGTATCAAGTTATCAGCCACCTGAATTAATATTTTATAAGAACCAACACTTCCTGTATTAATTTTCTTTATGTTTTTTGTCTATTTTACTGTTTGTCCATTTGCTGTTTACTCTTTTGTTTTGTCTGTTTACCTGTGTTTTACAATATACAAAATTAAATTTGTGTATTGACTTCTGTTTATAGCTTTGTTATTTCTATATACTATTTATTGTTTGCTTTGCTCCTTTTTTTCTAATGTTGTAAGACATAAATGTATATCAATTATATTAGTACTGTGTTCTTTTAAATTAAAACACTTAAAGCAACATTTTTTTTTCCTCTTAGCACTGCTTTTGCTTGGCTCCCTATGTTTTATGGGTGTGATTTTATTGTCCCCAATCATCTTTGGCATGTATTAAGTAATGGCTTATTTTAAAATGCGTTACATAATTTCAAGCAAGTTGAAAATGTTCTAGATATCATATTGTTGATTTCTAATTTAGTCCTGCTGTGGTCATGAAATATACTCTAAGATTTCAGAGGTGAGTTTTACTGAGACTCGCTCTAAGTCCCTGCATATATCTTACTTTGGTGAGCATTCCATGTGCACTTGAAGAGAGTATGTACTATTGAGTTGTTTTTCTGGTGTTCTTTAAATGAAAATAAGATCATATTGGTTGAATGTAGGGTTGTAATTTTTCAGTCTCCTTTCTGGTGTTTTTCTTCTTGTTCTATCAATTACTGTGTCCGAGGTTTTAAATATCTGTGACTGTTGGTTTATCTTATACTGCATTAATGCTATTAGGCTTTGCTTTATAATTTGAAGCTTTAATTAAACACATTTTTTGAATTGCTATGAATTTCTGATAAATTGGCCAAGATATTTCCCAAGCTTCTCTTTTTGTCCTGCCTCTAACCAGCTTTCTCGGACTCATGTCAGAGCTTGGCTTAGGCTTTTTTAAGGTGGATTTGTGTAAATCCCAAGCTGTTTGACTAGTCCCACTTATTTGTCATGACTCACACTTGGACGCATGTCAGGGATTGGTTTGGGGCTTTGTTAGCGTGTGTTTTATAACAGTCCCTACTCTGGTCCTTGGGCCTTCTTCCCAGGATTCAGTCTTTCTGGTGTCAAGCTGGATGGCAAGGGCTTATATCTCTACTTCAGCCATCTGCAATGTCCCCCAGCACTGTTTGTTCTCCTGTACCTCTACTGTTTTTCAGCTTTACTGAGACATAATTGACACATAACATTGTGTACCTTTAAGGCACGTGTGTTGATTTGATACACTTACCTGTTGCAAAATGATTGACACTCGAGCCTTAGCTAATACCTCCTTCATATCACATAATTGCCATTCCGTTCTTGTGCTGAGAACATTCGAGGTCTGCTCTCTCAAGTATGTGATACATAATTGTTAATTGCAATCACGATGCTGTGTATTACATCCCCAGAACCCACTCACTTTATACCTGGCAGTTTGAATACTTTGACCAACATCTCCTCATTTCCCACACCCACCCAGCTCCTGGTAAACAACACTCTACTCTGTTTCAATGAGTTCAGCTTTTTTTTTTTTTTTTTTTTTTATTCTACATATAAGTGAGATCATACAGTATTTGTCTTCCTCTGTCTGAATTATTTCACTTAGCGTGATGCCTTCTAGATCCATCTGTGTTGTAGCAAATAGCAAGATTTCCTTCTTTTTCATGCCTGATTAATATTCTTTTGTGTATATACACATTTTCTTTACCCATACATCAATCGATGGGCACATAGGCTGTTTCCATATCTTAGCTATTGTGAATAATGCTGCAATAAACATGGAGGTGCAGGGCTATCTCTCTGATACCCTGTTATCACCACCCAGAAGCTGGATTGCTGGATCATATAGTAGTTCCATTTTTAGTTTTTTGAGGAACCCCCATCCTGTTTTCCACAGTGGCTGCACCAATTTGCATTCCCACCAACAGTGCATGAGGGTTCTCTTTTTCTACATCTTCACCAGCATTGGTTATCTCTTGTATTTTTGATAATAGCCATTCTAACAGGTATGAGGTGATGTCTCATTGCAGTTTTGCTTTGCAATTCCCTGATGATCAGTGATATTGAGCATCTTTTCATATACCTGTTGGCTCTTAATATGTCTTCCTTGGAAAAATGTCAATTTAGTTCAACTGCCCATTTTTAAATTGGATTGTCTGTTGTGGGGTTTTTGTTTTTGTTTTGTTTTGCTATTGAGTTGTGGGAGTCTGCATATATTTTGGATATTAATCCCTCATCAGATATATGGCATGAAAATATTTATTCCCATTCCTCAGGTTGCTTTTTCATTACGTTGATTGTTTCTTTTGCTATGTAGAAGTTTTTATTTGATGTAGGTCCACTGACTGAATTTCGCTTTTGTTGCTTGTGCTTTGTTATTATATCTAAAAAGTTGTTGCCAAGACCCATGTCATGGATCTTTTCTCTATGTTTTCTACTTGGAGATTTAGGGTTTCAGGTCTCATGTTTACGTTGATATTCCTTTTCAAGTTCATTTTTATGAGTGCGGTAAGATAGGAGTTTAATTTTATTCTTCTGCATGTGGTGATCCAGTTTTCCCGAAACCATTTATTGACAAGACTAGCCTTCCCCCCG